TCACAGGTTATGTGCCACCGTGTCTACTCTCAAGTGGCCTTTCTAAGCAAGGGTTTGATATATTAAAATGGAAAAAGAAGCTGGGGAATGTTGGCCCACACCTGTAATCACACCTGTAATCCCAGCACTCGGGAGGCAGAGGTAGGCAGATCTCTGTGAGTCTGAGGACAGCCAGGATTGTTACGCAGAGGGACCCTGTCTTGAAACAAACAAACAAAAAACATAACGACCACAAAAAGAGGGGAAAAAGGATTCATTGCCACAGACCAAGGCCTAAAGTGGGTATAAAGACCGACCAGAGCCACAAGAGATCAGCTGGGAGGTGGGACATGGCTCTCTACTAGTGTCTAAACTAAAGGCTCACACGCAAGCTTTCCCAGGTCGGACCCTATGATCAGAATAGACTGTCCTGCTGGTGGATGCATTTCTGGGACCCACTAAAGAGGCAGGATGACCAAACAAGGCCCAGGAATAGATGGGCCCATTTCCCTCTAAAACAAGTAAAATGCCAGTGAACACAATGGTCAGTAGAGTTCATGCTCCTTCTAGGAGCCATAGACATTAGAAAAGAGAAGCAACATCTACTCCCTGCTCCCCCCCCCCTGTTTACTCAAAGCCGACACCGAAATGGACTCATTCTCTCATGAAGTTGGGAGTGGGAGGCAATGGAAGGAGACTCCAGAAAGCCCACATTGCTTCAAGATCCCGACTGAACCTTGCAGGGACAATTGAGTCCCTTCCAGTCTTCCTAAAGACTGGCTCTCAATCACCGTCACCCTGGAAGAAGACAGTGGGACCCGGTGGGGCTGGGAGGTCGGAAGGAAGAGGTGGTCTGTGCAGAACCTTGGGTCAGGCAAGAGTACAGGATCTAGGCCAACCTGGGGCTTGAACTTGGGTGTTCAGTCTGAGTTCAGTGGACCTCAGTGTAAACTGGAATGACACAGCTTCCTCTTTGAGTGGCCTGAAGGGCGGCAACTTGCTGTGTTTCTCTCTACTCGACACCTGGTTCTCACTTCTCGTTCGGCTCGCTCTTTGCAATGGGAGAATCCGTCAAGCAAAAAGGTGATTGGGAAGGAGCAGAGAGCCAAGCTTGAGAGAATGAGGAAGAGTCCCCTGTGTTTCTCCTTCCGTCTCTCCCTTCCAGGTGGATGTTCCCAGTTGGTTTTGAGGCCCATTGTTTGTCTTCAATCCTCTAGAAGTTTCCAATTAGCAAACGGGGAGAAAGTGTCCAGAGATGAAAAGTCAAGAAAAGACTTATTATTCAAGCCTACCTGACATTTTATAGTCTGAAACCTAGAAACGTTGCTAAGGTGTGATCAAACCACGGGACAAATGCTTGTTGCCATCTTCCAAGAATTAATGAGGATGATGAACCCCACTCCCTGGGGACTTTGTCCACCTCATCATCATTCCTTCTGCTAGACAGCTCTAGTTAAACCCAGTCTCTTACGCATTTTTTTTTCCAGTCCAGACTCTGCCATTGTGTGATCGTAGGCAAGTTTTTTTTTTTTTTTTTTTTTTTTTTTTTACTTCTCTGTGTCCTCCTCACATTAATAAACTGGATAATGGGCAGGCCTGAGTTCTAAACTCAAGTCTCACAGATGGGCTGTAGATGTTCCTAAACCTTAGCCTTTATAAATACAGTCATCCTGGACAAGATGATGCACTTCTTTAATCCCAGCACTCAGGAGGAAGAGACAGCTGATCCCTGTGAGTTCGAGGACAGCCTACTCTACATGGCAAATTCCAAGCCAGCTGGGGCTACATGGTGAGACCCTGTCTTAAAAAAATAATTAAAAAGTTCAGGTCATCCTAGACAACAATTTGAGACCCTGCCTCAAAATAAAAAGTAAAAGGAGGGCTAAGGATATGGCTCTGGGATGGAGCACAGGCCTAGCATGGGTGAAGCCCTACGGTTCGGTCCCCATTGCTGCCAGATAAACAGTTGCACTAGGCCTTAAGGGTCATTCCTATGTCCACCCTCTGGTACTCGATGGAGTTTAGGAGGAACCAAAAGTGAATTTCAGGAAGCTGGGCCTGGAGTTGCAGTCCTATAACAGTACCCAGAGGCAGTGTCTGGAGGGTCAAAATTTCAAAGCCAGCCTTGGCTACATAGTGAGGTACAGGTTAGCCTGGGCTGAGATGCTCTTAAATATTCAGTTAGTGAATCTTAGTACTCTTTTTATCACCAGTCCCAGGATACTTGGGAGAAAGTACCTGGAATCTCTGGAATCTTAATATTAAGAGCTCTCCAGCAGACAGATGGATCACCCATGGTATCGCCTCCAGTAACCAAGACGTCACCCATCAGCCTGTTCTTCCCAAACTGTTCAACTCTCACTGCCTCCCCACACTTCACTTAAAGAATCATTAAGAATGCATTAGACGCACAGGTCAAGGAATATAAATTGTACAATACAGACTGTAAAATGTTGGCCAGTACCTATGGTTTGGGAGCAAAGTGAGAAGGATGGCAAAGTGGGGTAGGGATACTCCCAACTAACATAAAAGGAGCTACAGTCCGCTAAACACTTGGCCTGAGTCTCTGGAATACCAGACAATCCTTGGGGCTGGAATAGGAAAACCTTCCTACTACGAGTTCAGTGTGGACCACTTCAGGGAAGGGAGGATCTACCTGAGAACCAAACTAAGACTGGTTGAGGCAACCACACTAGCTGCCAAACAAGTCCACCAAAGAGCAGTCTTATCACCCCTCCTTCCCCGCAAATAGACAGAGCCACCGTTTATCAAGCAGCGGCCCTTGGCTATGGTAAACTTCAGTTCACTGCACCAGCTATTTTATGATTGACTTCCAGCCAGAGCTCTGCCCTAACCTCTGAGTGCTTCCTCTAGTTTACTTCTCTCCACCGAGTCTTGTCAAGTCAGGCTTCCTAAACCTTTGCTGGGTGCTTTCATTACCGAAGCTGCTGCTTCTCCTAATAATAGCACCCAGCAAGTGGGGGGGGGGGTGGCACAGGGACTGCACTGTTCTCAGTTCTTAATGACAGGCCCTCTTGCCCATATGTACTAGTAATCAAGGACTTGTAGTCCTAAAAGTTCCTGAACATAATTCCCAAGCAACGGAGAGACTGCGGCAGGCAGGCAGGAGCCCTGTGTGCACAGGTAGACAACAGAACGAGCAGTACTCACAGCGTCCACACTCAGACAGGCAATCCTCACATCTAAATTCACCAGTTGGCCTTTTTCCCTTAGGCTCACCCATTTCAAGAGCGTGAGCATTTGGGGTGGGTGTTGGGAGCACCTTGGAGAAATCTTCCAGGCAAAACCTGCTCTGGTCTTATTAATGGGTCTGTAAGAAAAGCAGCCCAGACCTTTAAGTGATTGGTCGCTGGGCCAGGATGGGTTTTAGAATTAACTCTTCCTACAGTCTACTATGTATTATCACCCCCCGAGTTAATTACCCCTGAGGATGAAAATAGGTTTCATGACTCATAAGCACCAATACAACACTTGGCAACAGATGAAAAGGCAAGGACACATTTGCAGGAAGCTGACAGGAATGAACATCTATTTATATGTAGGGAGATTCTTAGAGGTGAGCCAGGCACTTCCCATGTATCAGGCTACAGATCCATCAATAGCGCTACAGATCCCCATTCCCAAACATACACACCCACACGGGCACACCGGCTTCTGGCTTCCACTTCAATATGGTGGCAAGCTGGGACAGAAACCCCAAGGGTATTATTAATAGCCAGCTCCAACACCAACCAAACCTCCACACTGGTGTTCAGGAACACCCCATGATTTGTTTTCCCCACGAGTGCTTGCACCTAATCCTACCTCCCAGCCCTGCCCTGCTGCTCCTTCTTGGATGCCAGTCAGGTAGGGTTCATCATTTCCTCCATCATGGGCAGGCAGGCAGTCAGATCTGGTCAGTTCCATAGGCCCAGGAGTGGCTAGGAACTAAATCAGATCACCTCACCGCTGTTGTGTTTTGCTTCCTTTCTCTTGCTCTCTAGTCCTCTGTTGCCTCCAGGAAAGGACAAGGTTCACACCAGGACTGTTTGCCTTGCTCTAGCTAGATGAAAGGCTAATCTGGTGTCTGATGGGGGATTCTGAGCCCTGAAGGGTGCTGTCTTCTCCTTCCTCACCCACCAGAACTTCACAAATGCCCACAACAAAGCTGATTAATAGTTGAGTTTCTTTGCTAGTAAAATGGGTTCCATTTGGTGCCTAAGTAACCTTTGCTTTTTTTTTTTCCCCCTTCCACGCCCATCCCCCTAAGTCTGCTCTGATCAGCTGTGTCCTGACTTAAGAAACACTCATTAAAGGGTAGGATATAATGAATGAGGTGGAAACTGCTTTGCAATCAACATGCATTTGTCTCCCAGATGCTCACACCCTTCCCTGCCCCTACTCCTAGCTAGGCACTTTTTAATTTTAAAGAAAGGGTTTATTTTAGCTTATAGCTCCAGAGGGCTAGAGTCCATCACAGCAGACTAGAAATGGCAACAGCATATATGGCAGGCAGGAGCGCGAGGCTGGCTGGTCACATTTCCAGCTGCACACAGGGAGCAAAGCCCAGCAAGACACCTTTCGTTGTAAGTGTGCAATAGCAGTAAATTTTACCCTTTGTGTATCAGCAAAACACCCTAACATTTCTTACTCTAAATTTCCCACTGTCCCCATGTTAAGTCACAGCTGCACTGGGTATCAGTATCTACTCACCGCCCCAGGGAAAGACACCAAAAAAGCATCTCTGACAATGCTTTTTGCAGCTGGGTCCCATATGGGGGCTGTGGGGGGGTGGGTAAAGATGCTGAAGAGTAAACAGAAATTGCTTAGTCAGCAACTGTAGATTACAGGGGAGGTAAAAATGTAAACAGTCTGGTACCCAGGGGGTGGGGCAGCCAGCTCTGAGAGCCTTCAAAGGGACCAGGATTCCTGGTTGCAGGTAGAAGGTTAACAGTTGTCCCCTTAGTTGGAGTGGTGTGGCCTCAGCCCTAGAAAGACAAACTTGCTGACTCAGGGCAGAATTAATATCAATTGAATTTATTACAAGTTACTAAGCTCCAAGGCACATTACAGTGTTCTGTTAACTACAGAAATGTATAAAGGACAAACAGAGCAAGTTCTCCATGTCTAGCTTTTCGCTCTACTGTTCAAAAGCATCCGTGCATCAATAAAGCCAAAACAAAACGACACGTGAAGATCCAACACATCCAGGTCAGTAGAAACAAACCAAAACATTTTTCCCCTCACAAACTTGCAACAAAAAACACCCATCCCCTCCCAACACCCCTCTTACCATTTTGCAAACGAAACAGGAAAACAAAACATAACAGAACAAAATTAAGTGAAGACTTCAACACTTGGGGCTGTTTAGAGAGACTCACCATTTTATAGCATCAATTTTTTTTCTTTTTCTTTTTCTTTTTTTTTTTTTTTAGGCAGCAACACTGGCCTTGGCAAAACAAAAACAACAACAACAAAAAAAATCTTTTTCTTTTGTGTGTTTTTCCTTTCAGAGTGCATAACATTTACAAAAATACACACCAGCAGCAGTTGTTGCTAAGGGCTATTAATGATGTACCTAGGCAAACATTCTGCCACCAAATAAATGCTAACGAATATGATGCAAATGACCCAATCAATAGTATACTGCTTAACACAACCAGCTTATCCTTCAAATGAAGAAGTTACATACCTGTTTCAAAATATAGAAACATACGACGAAAATAATGTCTATACATAAGACTAACTTTTTGCAGTTATATTCACAATTCTACATCTTGGTGGGAAAGGGAAATGGAGGCGGGGGTGGGGGGGAAGGGGCCTCTAGATTGAAGAGGAGGTGGTCTAGGGCAAAAGAGGTCCCTGGCCTTCGGTTCAAGGGTCTCTCTCTTTTTTCACTTTAACATCCCCAGCTAAGATAGTTGCGATTTCGCCCTGCATGAAGGCCCAAGGTACATTAGACCCAACTAGGGGGCATTTCTCTCCGCTGGGGCAATACACCTCACCTGTAGCCCCCTGGGCTTTGATACTCTCTCTAGAACAAGGGAAACAAAATTTGTGGCTAGGGACGGATGGGCACTGAACGAAATGAGTGTCCTCCAAACGTTCGTGGCAAATGGTACAGCAGAGGGGTCCGCTGTTGGCCATAGGGGAATCCGGAATGTTTTGGGGGTGCACTTGGTCCATGCCCGGGTGGGCGCTAGGCGGCGGAGGCGCCACCTGTAAATTCAGGTCCCCATTTCGTGATGCCAGGCGACGCTGCCCCGGCACAGAAGCGGGAGACACCGGGCTGCTGCTGTTTCGCCTAGCAGATGCAGTGGTCGAGTGCACTGAACTGCCATCCTTGGGCGAATGCGCTGTGCCCAGAGTGTCTGCTACTGACATGAGCGCGGCCATGGGGGACGGACCATTCTGCGGGGCTGATTCCGGCGGGGTGGTCCTATTGGAATGAGGTCCCAGAGGTGGAGGGGGTGGGGGTGGTCCCCCTGCTGCGTGCCCTGGAGCCGCAAAGCCCCCCGCGGACATAGTGAGCTTCAGCGCCTCGCTCTGGTTTGCCATCCACTGCTGCCTCTGCTGCTCCTCGCCGAGCTTCAGTGCGCTTTCTGCTGAATCCGGAGGTTCCGGGGATGCCTTCCTTTTGCGCAGGCTGGCGGCTGCACCCCGGCCCGTGGGCGCCGCTGGAGGCAAGGCTCCAGTTCCTGGGGGTGCACTGGGGGCGCGGCTGAGACTCACCAGCGCCGTGGGTAGCATGGGACAGCTGGCATCTAGGTAGGGCTGGGGCAGCATGTCCGCGCCAGGCACGCCCTCCTTGAAGAAGCGCACAGCCTCGGGCAGCAAGTCCCCTAGTAGGCGCCAGTCGCCCGAGCCATGCTTCTTCTCGTACTCTAGGTACTTGAAGCCAGAGGACAGACCCCGGCCAAAGTCTTTCATGCAATCCTGGTACATCTGTTTGGCCACCCCGGACGCGCTGGAGTACACGTTGCCGGAGCCCGTGGGATACTCAATGAACAGCTTCAGCTCATAGTCCATTCCGGGCTTGGAGACAGCGTCGAAGGCAAAGACGCGACCCAGCAGCGAATGGTCCTTCTTGAAGCGCACCTCGTAGGGCGTGCAGCCAGCCAGCGTGAGCAGGGTGTCACGGACCATCTTGGGCTTGCTGGCCCACTCCTCCGCACGGTTGCGCAGGCTCTCGCTCAGCTCGGCCAAGGCCTCAGCGTTGCGCTGCTTCTCCTTTAGCTCACGCTCCTGGTCCGTACTCGACACCGAGCCAGGCCTCTTGCCACCAGCACCCACGCCCACCTCTGCCACCGTCGACGAGGTCGAAGACGGTGCGGAGGATACAGTGGCCGACACACCCGGAGCAGCCCCGAGACAGGCGGGTCCCCCGGGAGCACCGGGAGGCGCTGGAGTCGGGGGTCCTCGGCTGCCCCCCAAACCGTGGGGCGGAGGCAGCACCGCGGCGCTGGCCGGGCCGTTAAGCAGCGTCTGCGGCAATAGGTTTGGGGGCACCGTGAGCTGGGGTCCCCCGCCACCCCCAGGGTTGGGGAGCCCGGTCACCAGCCCACTATGTGTCCCACGCCGAGAAGCCACCGATGTCGCCGCCGAGGATGAGTTGGGGCTCTGGCGGTTCAGCTCCGGGGGGCCCTCCTCTGGTGCAGGCTTAGGGAAGCCGTTAGGACCTCCCAGGCCGTTGGGCAGCCGGGCGGCGTGGCTGCTGCTCCCCAGACTCACCGGGGGCGGCGGATACTCGAAACGGCTGCGTTGTTCCACCGCGGCGGCAGCGGCGGCGGCAGCGGCGGCCGCTGCGCTCAGGCCGTAGCGTTCCAGGCCGGACGGGGCGGCCAACACGGCTGGCTTGCTAGAACCATCGACGTGGTTGAGCTGCTGCTGCTGCTGCTGTTGCTGCTGTTGCTGTTGTTGCTGTTGTTGCGCGGCGGCAGCTGCTGCCGCCGCTTCCTTGGCGGACAAGGCCACTGTCTTGACCCCAACGGGCGGCGGCGGCCCAGGGGAACGGCCGTCTTGGAAGCAGCCGTGCGCCCGCTTCAGCTGGCGTGCGGTCTCGATCACGAATTCTATGCGGTCGGCGCCTTCGTAATTGACGCAACCACGGCAGACGGGTTCGGAGAAGTCCCAGATCATGGCCCAGGGCATGCGAGGCAGGTCGCACAGGTAGCAAGACTGTCTTCGGGACGAGGACACCTGCGCCGCCGACATGATGCCAGCCTCGGGGAAGGTAGGCCCCCTCCCGGGCTGTCTCTGTGGCGCCTTCTCCACCTGGAGATCTGGCTGGCTGGGAAAGGAGTCCGGCTGCAGGGGAGGGGGGCGGTGGGGGGCGAGAAAGTTCTGCCCCAGGGGCTGGAGGGAGAGGAGTCTCCACCGCCGGCGCAGCGCCTCTCCGTGGGGGCTCTACCGCCTGGGCGGTCGACCGGTCCTGCACGCTACTCGCCCCCACCTCCTACTGCGACTGTCTGGTCCGGAGAAGAGCTCCGGAGCCTTCTTCCTGGCGCGGCGGATCAGGGCTGGAAGCTCCGGACCTGGGGGGAGGGGGCTAGGGTGTCCGGGGCCAGCCGCCAGTGGCCTCTTGGCCCCCTCCCCGGAGTGATTGAAGCGTGGAAGCGCGAAGGGGGGGGTCCCCCTACGATCTGAGTCCTTTCTACGCCAGGCGCCCCGGGGAGAGGGTTAGAGGGTTGTGCCACCCGGTGCCCAGGTCCAATCTTGCTGAAGCCGCTGATTCCCCGGGAGGCCCGGGGGAGGAGGTGGCCGCCAAGAGGAAGAGTTTCCCCTTCGCAGCGTCGGCCGTTGCGCTGGCGGCGCCTGGGTTTGCACGCCGGAGGGAGCAGCCGCGGCCACTGTTTCCAAGACACACGAGAGCAGAGGAGAGGAGCGCACGCACGCAGGCTCCCACCGCCCCCTGGCCTGGCCAGCTCTCCGGCCACAGAGGCTGGCGGCGCTCACGTTGGCTGCACGGCGCTCGCTCGGCGCCTCCACCCGGGTCGCATCCCTTCCCGCTTGCGCTCGCCTGGAATGTGGGGTTGTGATTGTTACTCTACGTTCCGGAGGCGCGTCTCAGCGCTCCTGCTCGGGCTGCGGCTCGCGCTGTCCCCGGCTTGGCCGCGCGGGATGCCGCCCGGGCGGAGCGCTGACGTCACCGCCATGCTCTGCACCAGTCCCCCACCCCCCTTTACACTTCCTCTGTCTGTGGAGCCCACTTGTTGCTCGCGAAAGGCGCATGCGCGGCAGGATGCCCAGATTCCTCCCTGTCGGCCCCTCCTCCGCGCCTCCGCCCTCCCCTCCCTTCCCCCCCTGGGCTGTGTGTGTACCACAGCTGAGGCCTGGCGAGCTAATGCTGGGCTGGCTGGCTGGGTGGCGTGTGTGTGTGTGTGTGTGTGTGTGTGTGTGTGTGTGTGTGTGTGTGTGTGTGTGTGTGTGTGTGTGTGTGTGTCTGTCTGTCTGTCTGTCTGTCTGTGTCTGTGTCTCTGTGTCTGTGTCTGTGTCTGTGTCTGTCTGTGTAAAACAGAGGATGACCTTTCCTTTTCCTGCCTGGCTTTCCCAAGTTAAAAAACAAAACAAAAAAACGTTTAAGAGCCACGATTCCCGATCCCCACCTCATCAAACAAACCCTAGGTAGTAAAATTAAATGCGCTGCTCGACGAGTTTCTCTTTAAATTTCATGTAAGGTATTGCCTATTTCATCTGTGATGAGAACTCCCTCCCCGATTAATGTTACATTCCTTGCCACCAGTGGTGCCCAAACACCTGCAGAATTAGCCCTTCTCCAATCTTCCAGAAATTACCTTTTAGATTTGTTTTTGTGACCGGGCCTGGGAATCAATCAGAGTTGCGAGGATGGCGCTCAATGAGCTACCCCTCCCCTTGGCCGAACTCTATATAAAATTTTCTGACTATGAGCTATGAGTACTCTTGAGGCCTTAAGGAAAACAGTCAACTGGCTGCATACAGCCGCAGTTGAGGGCAGAGAATGGGGGAGTGAAGAATTTGCCAAACAGGTGAGTGGTTTTTCTGGGTTTTATAAAATGGGCCAGCATTTAATAACACTGATTGCTAGGGGACTATAGCTCTGCGAGGGAGCGTTTGTTCAGGATGACCGAGGCTCCGAACTCAGTCCTTAGAACCATAAATAAATAAAGCATAGGCAGTTTTGAAAGTTCCTCCGGCGTGCTGTGATTTAATCCCACACTGCCCCGGTACACTTTGGGAGGTCACGGTTTCTTCTCCCTTGTGAGATCACTGCTCATCATTATTGCTCATTGTAGAAACAGATAGGGTTGGTCTTAGCTCTGGCTGGGGCATTTCAGCTGGTTCTATTTATTAGGTTTGCCTTTTTCTTATGTAAATTAAGATAATCCCTGTGGAAGTCTGGTGGAAGGGAGGTGATTTGATAGGGCTCTGCCTAGCAAGCTGGAATTTCCTCACTATTATATCATCTCTTTTTCTTCTGCAAAATGGATTTATTTCCCCCAGCTTGAAGGGTTGTTGACGATTTCAGTTTGTTTCTTGTGACAAGTGACTCTGAGACTGGCAATGGGATAGGTACTGGACAAGTGGTCCCTTTGTATCAACCTTAGTATTACTTTCATTATAATGTAGAGACATAACATGAAGCCATAATTTACATTACTAAACCCTTAATGTTTTCTACAAAGTAGATTCTATTCCATTTTACAGGCTAGGAAAATAAAGAGGTTGAAATAACTTGTCTACAGCTGCTGCAGCTGGCCTGGAATCTAAATCAAGTAAATTTGATTTGAGAGGCGGTGCACACAAGCTAAGGCTCCCAGGGATGGTGTCGGTGCTCCCCATTTTCCTCTAGCACTTGGTTCTTTGTTGAATACAACTTGTATACAAAGTGCTGTGTAAATGCACCTTCATCACGAGCCCCTCGAATCCCCTTCCAGACTGTACTACTGAATTCTTCCACACAGAAAAGCTGTGAAGCTGCCACTGCTGCAGAGTGAAGCATGCCATACAGTATGGACAGCACATTATTGCATTCCCGGGAAACTGCCAGTGTTGGACACTAGCATTGATAATGATATTGAAACTGTCACTGGCTTCCCTGTGAAAGTATTAAAGTGCAGAAGGCATTGTGATCATTATTTATGATCACTGTTACAGTCAGTTGAAGCAACAAGAAATACTTTTATTTTGACACTTGATCTCCCGACGCTAGTCAGCATTTCCCAGCATCTAGATCTTCATTCTGGGTTCCAAGTGCAAAGGAGAGCAGAGCTTGTAAGGATATAGAGAAAGGGAGGAAGAGGAACCCGTGGGGAGCCTCTCTTTCATCTCAGAGCAACCCAGTTTCTGGCTTTGCAAAAACAGCAATCTCAGTGTGTGGTGCCGGGCAATAATAAACTTTGCCTGCCAGGCTGGCTGGCTGGCTTGGAGCAGAGTCTTGTGCATAGAGCCTCTCAGGGAGTGCTTCCTCACCCTTGGACACAGCCACCCTTGAGTGAGTCAAAACACAGGGCTCAACCATCCCAGACCAGCCTGGGACTTCTGAACTTTGGCTTGGCTGGATGACCCATTTATTTACATTATTAAACCCAAAACTGTTCTGGATGGTGGTGGCACCCACCGTTAATTCCAACACTTGGGACGCAGAGGCAGGCAGATCTCTGTGAGTTCAAAGCCAGCCTGGTCTACACAGTGAGTTCCAGGACAGCCAGGGCTGTTACACAGAGCAACTCTGTCTCGAAAAACCAAACAACCAAACCAAGCCAAGAAAACAAAAATACTTCAGAAATAGCAGCTTAGCCACAAGAGTCCAGCCAGGCAGGTAGAGGAAGCAAGTTGAGTTCCATTCCATTGTCATAGTGGAATGTTCTGTGTACCATCTCCTTCTGTCTTCACTTTTACTAACACACAGGTGCACACACACATATGGTATCTCCGAACATAGTGAGCTGGACATCAATATGCATTTAAACAGAATCCCATTACAGCCCACAGACTCATAATCCTTTTGTTTAAAAATCATAACTATACCTCTTCAAAAAGAGTAAGAATCGTCCCCTGTGATAAACTGGTTCTTAACTGCTTGTCTCAGAAGGCCCAGATCGGGGATGCATTGGTGAATGGGGAGGCGACAACTCCAATGTCTGAAGATACATTTCTCTGCTCCTGCAGCAATGCCATGATCTATCTCCTGGGAAGAACTGATCGTGGAGGTGAGAAGTTGGGGAACAGAGTGAGAGACAGAACTCTGGTGCTGTGTTCTGGGGTGCACCATCTGCAGAGATTTGTAGAGCAAGGTAGGAAATGCTAACCCTGACTCCACAAATCGAAGTCCTGTCTTAATAGCTGTCTTTCTCCTCAGCTAGCCATCTGAGATAGCATCTTCAGAGAGCACTGTTCTAAACTGGAGCAAAACGTCAGCTTTCCACTTGGCCTTTCCTGAGCAACACTGCCCAGGGTTAGGGGTGTGAAGGTTGCCAGGATCTTAGGCACTTCTGTGCATCTGGGCTACTCCTGCCTGCCCTCAACAGCCTCCACCGTATGGAACCGAAATGGAACAGTGGGGGGGGGGCGGGGGTGCTCTTGGTCTGCTGGCTCTCCAGGCCAAGGCTGAACCTCGCGTCACCCCACTGCAACGCGCGCCGCCAAGCGCTCTGCAGAGAGAAAAGCCTTTTTTGGTAACGCAGCCCGGGCAGTGAGCAGAGCCCTGTTTTTTGGCCTGCGGGAGCTGCTTAAAAGTAGATGAAAACAAACGTGTGGGTTGGGCTCTCCATTGGCCTTCTGGAGGCCTGAGATCGTCTTGCACTGGGAACCCCAGGGGTGCTGCAGGTTACTATGCCTTGCAGACCCGAGCAAAGGGGCCATCGGGGCTGGAGGCTGCTGGGTGATTTACACATTTACTCCCCGGTCGGATCTGTGGCGAAAGTATTTGCCTTTCCCTAAAGGATTAATCCTGGTATTAAAAAAAAAAAGTATTGAGTTAGGCCAGGGCATAGGGTTACACAAGAGCCACTAGAGCATGAAATCCCAGGAACAACGTGATTCGCCGCCGAGAAGCCCTGGGGAACTGAACCTACACCGCCCGCCAAGACCTGCCCAGCGTCGGGTGCAGGGGCAAGGCGGGCACTCTGAGCGAAACTGGGGAGAAGGCAAGGGCGGGCGGGCATAATGGTTGGGGTTGGCACAGTGGCGGAAAGAACGAACCGGTCTCTGGCTGTTTTCTTCCTGGAGGGGCG